TATTTTGTTGTATAATATGTAATACATAAATAATATTATAAATATTATTTGTATGTATATTTTAAATAATTTAATGTACCTAATATGTAGAAGTTAGTGTTGTATTAAACTTGCTGCACCCACCACAAGCTAGCTTTATGGGTGGTGTCATAAATAGTTATTTTAGTTTTGTTATCTTTAAGTATATTATTTTAACAAATAAACTTTATATTATTATATATTTACTTTTTTGTTTAATTATTTTAGATATTAAAACTGCGGGGTTGATTATTACATAACAACATAATAATTCWTTTGTTTAATCAAAAGAGAAAGGATTATACAAACTTTTAACCATGGTCTACCACAACAATGCAAGACTGTGAAAATGAGTCTTATATCTGATTCTGTGCAAACATCTATTTTACAACTACTACCCGTTTTAAAATCCCATTTTCCAGATTTATAAAAATGTATACATTACTAAAAATCTAAAATCTATTTAGTTTTTAAACTAATACACAGAATTATAAATTCTGGTTTAAATGTCAATGGGGAGCAAATTAAATTAAACTTAAAACAAATTGAAACGTGTTATTTGATAGGAATTACTTAGGCATCAAAAGAAAAGTCCATTGCATTATTATTAGGTACATTGAAATAATTCTAACAAAATTACATAAAGTGTTTCTCTTGTTACCTTATTACTACCCAACACTGATTGTATTTACTTTTGTATTTCTTTTTTTTCTTCGTTAAACTCGCTCACTAGGACCGTCTTGATCTACATCCTGTCCTCAAGTTATAACTATCCAACGCCTATATCATCCACTCTAGACCTCCTTCTAACACATAATTYCCTGCTATTTCTGTCCTCACACCTCAGGGCTCAGACGTAGTTTCCCCAGCAGTCTTTTCTTCTATTACTATGCATATGATTGGGTTTTGGTAACKCCAAGCATGCCCAGCCAATTATAATCTTCTGTTCTTTACCATTTTCAGTATTCTGGTTTTGTGGCAGAGAATTTTTAATTCATTGTTTTTCTTTATTCTCTTCTTATCACTAGCATGTATACTACAGGTCCAAAATCTTAAGCAGTATTTTCCTCTCCAGAACTGAGAATTTTATTTTACCACTTTTTAAGCCATGTCTCTGCTCCATAAGTAATTAGAGGTTGTATTCATAWGGTGTATAATAGTATTCTTAAATCCTTTGAAAGTAAATGTGATCCAAGCAATTTCGCAAGACTCTAGAGGCTTTTTTTTATTGATCCTATTTCTTTTCCGGTTTGATTTCTCTCAAACAGTATAGGCTTTATTTGTATTGTTTTTTTCTTTTGAAATTTGGGTTGTTGAAATTAAGAGCTGGATATAATATCATGTTGTTTTGGTTTCCYACAATCGTGTATTAGTTTTTTTCCTCATTAATTTGAGGTCAACTTTGCTATGTAGGGACTTATACCAATATATTAGACATAATATTATTACACTGTTATTCCTATATTTTTTTAGCATAGCATAATAAAACAGTTCATGGCACTCTACTATATTATATAAAAATATATATAC